TATGGAAGGATATTATTTCGATTTAGTTTTAGCCATAAGAGATCAAACATCTCTTTAATAACGAGGCTCTGAGATATTTATCAAGATCATGTCAAAAAAAGATGTAGATCAGTTGATAATAATCTCCAGGAGAACACAAGAGACAAATACTAATTTCATAGGAAGTACACTGTTATAATTTGGTTTTAGCCTCAAGTGCTTAATGCTTTTACTCGAAGATTTTTATCGAATCACGTCAACCAATTTATTCTCTGTTCTTTGTACAAAAAAAGAAAAAGAAGACAGTTTGCCCCGCAAATAGCTGGAAAGCTAATCGTGACGGCGTAAGACAACTACATGAATAACACAAATTTTCTAATGTCTAAAGACAAGGAGTCACTGACTCCTAAATGATAACACAGAAAAAGAAAGGCAGACATTTAAACCCTTAGCAAGTGTATCTATGTACCTACTCTTTTAATAATCACGGGGATTTGAATATGGTTATCCTCTTTTTCTAAGATATCAAATAGCAATTTGCAGATAACTTTTTTGAAAGCTTTCTTTGGAAGATCCGTTAAAAAACTTGTTATCATATTCCACAGCTTTACTCCGAGCCGAGACAAAGAATTGTTTTGTTTTTTTAGTCTCGAACTTTTAACATGGAACTTTCCAGACGTAGAAGATCGTGTATTGTATGAGTGAATATTACACGTTTTCTGAAAGAGATTTAACATGTTTGCTGGGGCTTTATCATTATTAATATCGTGCATTAAGGTTGATACGGACTCATAATAAAGAAAAGTTATTGGAAGCACGTTAGTTTCGAGAAATAAAGGAATTGCATGGTCATGCCAGGCTGCGAGGTACAGCAAACGAAGAGCTCTTTTCTGAAGAATTAGAATTTTGTTAAGATAAGTCTTACATACCTGACCCCAGGCTGCAAGACCATAAGTTAAGTAAAGGGGAAGTAATTAGTGACTTATAGATATTCGGTAGTATTGGTCGAGGTACAGACTGGCATAACTTTGCAACCAGCTTAACATTTTTACTAGTTTTTGTAACAATAGAATCGATGTGGTATTTCCAGGAGAGATTCTGATCAACAAGAACGCCCAGGTACTTTACGCAAATTTTAGACTCGAGACGTACATATTTATTATTTTCATTATCAAACATGCAAAGTTTTGATTTGTAAGCAAGTCGCTTTTGGTAAAGATGAAAAATTACAGAATTGGATTTTTTAGTTTTAAGAGGTAGTTTGTTGGCTGTCAACAAATTATAAAGGTTTTGTAGCTCATTGTTGACTATTGTCTAAAGATCTTTCAGATTTTTGTCCGCATACAAAATGTTAGTGTCGTCTGCTAAGAGGTAAAACCTAAATTTATTTGAGCATCTGTGGATGTCATTGACATATAGCAAGAAAAGCAATGGTCCAAGAATTGATCCTTGAGGAACACCACATCCAATGACAGCTTTATCTGATATATGATGGCCCTCTTGCGTTGTTTGCGTGCGATTTTTGAGACATGAGGAGAACCAATCATTAAGTAATCCACGAAAGCCATAGTAATTGAGCTTATCGAGCAAAATGTCGTGATCGATGGTGTCGAAGGCTCTTTTAAGATCAATGAATACTCCACAAGATAGCAATCGTTGTTTCATGTTTGTCTGTATATCATTGAAAATGTCCAGTATTGCGTGTTGGCTTGAATGCCCCTTACGAAAGCCGTACGGTGAGGAATACAAAAGTTCGTGTTTCTTTATGTAGCTCGTCAATCTGTTGATTGTCGCGAATGCTCTATTAAAATTTGAAAGTAAAGAGATAGGTCTGTAGTTTGTTTGCATCATTATCATCTTCATTCTTAGATACTGGCGTAATTTTAGCAATTTTGAGCTTTGATGGATAAGTCCCTAGTCTGATAGATATATTAAGTATCTCTGAAAGAACATGAGCTATGACGGCACTTTTGAAAAAAAATTAGCTTAACCAAATAACACCTTCCGAAAGCATTTTTGTTGAGTCTTTTGATCGTGACCTAGAGCAAATTAGTTGTTTTGAAAGTTGTACAATTGGGAACCTTCGAGTGAAGCCAGACTATATTGCAGCAATCATTTTGATGTCAGCAGGAATTAAACTTCGACAAGATAGGCTTAAGTTTTTAGATGAGGTCCAGGGCAGAGACGAAACATGCGTAGGCCAGGCTTACCAAAGAAATACCCCTTCTAAAATTTTTACACTCTGACGGAAAGAAGTTTCAAAAAAATCTATGAAACTCGCTAGGATTTCCGAGCTCCCTCCAACTTTTACCATCAAATGTTAAAAATTCAAATGCAAGGGTAGTTACCAGACTATGCTAAACCGTTTCTAGGGTACTTTGGTAGTTCAGATTGATGGCCATTGAATGAAATATAGTAATCAGTAATTTCTTTCACAACAGTGTTTCGCAAAGAGAGGCAAAAGTTAATTATGGTCGTATCCATTCATTAAAGGAGTAGTTCTGTAAACAACTGAAAGCCACCTTATTAAGGGACAGATCCGAAAGATCAGGCACCGAAAAATACTAGATTACTTCATTGTTTACAGTTCTTTTTTCACCATTGACTAGAATTAGTTTGAATCGCACATATTTGCTAAATCCAGGATAAATAGTTCAACGCATGCTAATAGCTCCAAATGTATACCTAACAGTTTGTAATAAAAAAGGCAAAAAGCTAACCTTTTTAGAAGTTGTCCTGTATCTCTTTCTTCCTTTGACTTCCTTTATATCTCAAAGTGCTCTCATTTTCCTCTTCTTGTCCTGGGGAGAGAAAACTAATTTGAATACAAGCACACACTTGTCTTAAGCGAAATACTTTTATGGCAAATAATAAATGGCGATATCCAGGTCGCAAAAGTAGCTCAGAACCACTACATTTCACAGCGTATGTTCAAAGAATATATAATGCCCTTTAATGAAAAAAAAAAGGCAAAAGAAAATCTTGTTAATTTAAACATGTAACTCTGCAAAAGCGTTTTAGATAATAAAAAAAAAGGGAACATTTAGCTAACTCTTACTTTACCGTAAATTAGCAGGGTTTTAGACTAGCTTCACCAAAAGATAGGGATTCCACGAAAAACGTTTTGGGAATTACTCCTTTTTTCTTTGGCGGGGTCAACGCAAGTGCGCTGAAAATAAACACAATGACAAAACGCTATAAACGTGAAGAACTTATTGTACATGTTATGATAAACAAGTACCGAAGGGAGAAGGAAAATAAGGAAATAAGGGACGACTTCTCTAACATTGAAGAACGAATTTCTCTCGTAGCTGTCAAAATCATGTTCAAGAAGAACTGTCATGGCGGCTGCCACCAAGGACCTGTATTACATTGTGTCATGTGCAACATACTCTCCCTTCTTACATTTGACTCATGTAAATTGCTTTTACAAGAGCAACAACGGAACCCACAAACACTGTATTTCTATCCAAAATATATCTTAACGAAGGTTATTTACCTGATGAAACGTCATTACAAAGCCATGAATCGTCAACGTCGAATGTTAACCACTCGATTCAACAGAAGAAACACCCACCGACCTTGACGGAACTGACAAAATCCAAGGTACTAAGGCCAAAATTAAATAGTGTGTTTCTTGAATCCATAGAAGCTGGAAAAGACGCAGATATTTCTTGTACTTCGTATGCTCTTTCCACGTGCAAGAATAAGCGTAACTATGAATACTAATTTTAAAAATTATTTGTAATTCAAATTAGTTTTATGACTTTAAAAGGCGGATTTAAATGATGGACACCGAGCTCTTCGGCCTATTAAGTTCCACTTAAAAGCGAATTGGGTTTTCAAGCTGAAGGTTGATTATGAACTTGGTGAAATGCAACTGGGAGTTGCAAGCTTCTTTTTAATTTTAGAGGCATCAACTTGAACTTAGATGAATTAAACTTAAAGACATTTCGCTTAAAGATTATTTTTCAGTCATTTACTAGAACTCCCTAACTCTAGATCTGTTTTCTTTTATTCACTGGAAGGAGCTGTTGTATTTTGCCACTTTCCAACTTGCTGAAGGCACTGACATTCTTTTATAGTATCATCAGGATTCTGTAGTTGTTTAAAAGAACACTTGGAAAAAAGCTGCTCCACTCATCCTTTCCTCACTTAGTTCCCATGGCCCTGTCCGTGTTCGATAGCCGAAAGAAAGAGAGAGAGACAGCGAAATTTGGGCAAAACTCCAGTAGGCTCTCTCCTCGACGATATTTAAACGGAATGTTAGAAACCAAGCAGAGACGGAAAAAGTTAAATCAGGAGTTTGTTCATAAGTGAATTCAAATGGTACAAATTAGTAATGAGGACTCAAGTTTACTCCATGGTTACTTTACACTGTTCATAAAAATGCTTGGAGTAAAGGAACGCACACATGGCTAATAAAGCTAAAAAAAAAAAAAAAACCCAAAAAAACAAACAAACAAAATAAATCATCACACATCACATTTTTTTGTTTCCAGGACAAAAATTGCGTTTCTGACAAGAGACCCCTGACGTCGGTGGAGTGTTCTCTATTTCTACTGCAGTTACTGTCTGCATTTTAACTCTTTAATATTGCGTGGTTTTTTAAAAGTTTTAACCCACTTTAACCGACGTACGTTCGAAAAGCTGGTGCCACCAGTATTTCTTAAAAACCAGTATGACAAATGTGGCTGAACGTTAGGCTTCTATAGGACTATTTCGTCACTATACCAAAACTAGAAATAAATTTATTAGAAGTGATAACAAATGAAACTATGGAGAACTTCAGAGAGAACACTTCTACCCATCCGTCACATCAGATATAAATAGAAGTGACTTCGTTGAGAAATGATCAAAATTTTGGCTTTCACTTTCTCCAATAGGAAACGTACGAGTAACTATGACGACAAGGTAAAGCCCCAGAGCTTCCTTGGCCCTTGCAGCACTCTATTCCAATCCCCCGAATCAATTTGATTGACCGCGCAGCCAGGATCTAGTCCTGGAACGGTTTAACATTTTAACCTTCCTGCAGGAGAGGAAGTTCTTGCGATCGTAATTAAAGATACCATCGTAAATCAACGATTTCACGTCTGCATTTTCCTAATTTGGCGACGCAGACTAGGAGAAGAAATTCGAAGAAATAACCACTTGTGAAGATTGAAAGATGACAATTCAGTTCTTCATTAGTGGTATGTATTTTTGTGGTCGAAGCATGTAAACAAAACAAGTTCAACTCTAATTTGTGTTTCACATCTCTGGAAAACATGGTTTGATCTTTTTTAATTTTATTATATTAATCATAGCAAAAAACATGTCGGCATTATGGTGCATTGTGATTCGAAGCCTCTAAACCTACTATCTTTTTAAGTTCACGGTTTGACTAATTATTTTAAGCAGCATAATCGCTGACGTCGAAGAAAGCGAAGAGGAAATTGAAAGTGAGAGCCTTATCTTCATGTTATTTACCTGTGTAGGTGATCTTTTCTCCAATAGAGAAATACATCATTCGCGTTCTGTCGCATTACAAACTTAGATGCTAACTTCAGAGCGTGTTAATTTCGTCACGCAACACGGAAGTTGTCCCATTGTGAGTAACGCAAACAACTAGGGAATACCATCGTTTAGGTATATATGCGTCAATGCGATTTCCTTCTCATATGTCTGGGATTTGCATGCCTGCCTGAGCGATCGTGTAAGGATAGGGTGACAGTGTACATGCTATATATCAATCCCAAAGCCTTCACCACCACCCCCCTCCCTCCCTCCTTACCTTCCTTGGTTCTTGAAGGAATGCTCTCTGCTCTTGATTGACTTGCTGTCTTGATGTTTTACAGGTAAATGGAAAGGTTACTTTGTAGACAACAGGTATTCTGCTGGAGGGCCAGCCAACAACAAGTGGTACATGGACATCAACATGGCTTTTGAGAATAACCACCAATTCACTGCAACTGGGAGTGATGAGGTTGGTGACTTCAATTTTGAGGATGGAAAAATAACAGGTAGGTAGAAGAATTATTTCAGTCAGTTTGATCTAGAATAATTAAAATACATAGCTCAAAATCTTCCTTTACTGATCTTAAATAAAGATATCAGGTCTCCTTACCTACCCATGATCCTGTATTGTGTGTGACTGTAATCTTGTGCAAGGTATTGTAATAACCCCCAATCCTCACCCTTGCCCGACCATATCTCACAGAAGGAAACTCAAGTCAAAAGTTATGTATTAACATGGACTCTTGTGTGGAATTCTGCACTGTTTCATAAGGTAATCTCCATGGTATTTTTGTGCACAAATTAAAGTACAATATGAAATAAAGAGACTCAGCTTCAAAGGAATTCATGGAAAAGGGTTGTGGTGTTTGAAAACTGAATCATCCCTTACAATGTACATAGTGACTTGAAAACTTATTTTGATATTGCAAAATTCAGCAGCAGAAAACAGATATAACAAGGTAAAGATTGGAACTGTGGTGTACAACCCAAAACTAATTAAAATTCTTTCTTTTAACATTGAAGTTTGAAATATGGAAATTGAAAATTTACCATAGTCAAGAGCAGTAACTTTTAAGTTCTTTCCCCTTCCCCCTGCCCACTCATCAATTCTCAGAGGAAAGAGTCAATGATAACAGTACCATGTGACTTCCTTTCAATTCCAGTCAGAGGTGAACTTTTCATTATTGTTATCTGGAATAAGTTTACCTGAAAATGTCACTGGAACTAGCGGTAATTGTCTATTACTGTGGTTACTGGTGAGGTTTTAAAAAAGGCTTCTCTAAATTTTACTTTCAGATGGCAAAGTAACATTCCGCAAGGCATACAATAGTCACAATGTGTATTATGAAGGTGAGATAAAAGGAACAAAGTTGGAAGGTCAGTGGTGGCTTGAGGATGCCCCTTCTATCAAGGGTGATTGGGCAATGTGGCCTGCTACAAGTGCAGATATCTGAGTCTCAGAAAGGATTCAAAACTCAAAGAATGCTTGTTATGTGTCTAAACACACCAGTTGAAGAGAAAGCATCTGTAAACGTTTGTATCCAGTGAAACATGAGTTTATGTGTCAAAAGGATAAGTATGGCTTAAGAAAAATGGTGCAGATTTTAGTTTTTTTTCTGTCAAAAAACTTAAGGTGGGTCACAGTTGTCGAAAACCATGCCACCCTCTGGAGATTAAAGACCATGTTGTCACTATACTTAGATAGTAATTATAAGGCTGTTTGGATTTTCCACACAGAGCTGTACCAACTTAAAAGAAACAACAACTGAAAATAAAAAGTGTGATAGTATTTTATTGCTTTTCCCTGCCAAGCCGAATCTTTTAAACTCATGTAATACTTCCACCAATTTAACACACCTATCAAGCACTCATATCCACTTTTATACACACATTTATAAAGTGGTTAAACTATGGTATTTACAATGATAGAAATCAAAAGAAATCTTTGAGCAACTACACTATGTTTTTCTTAAGTAGCCATTTGCCTATGCAAAAAAAAAACTTTGTGATGATTTTTGTAAATCCTATGCACTCTGACTAACTATTGATATTACATTAAAATTAGTAAAACATATTAACTTAATTAAGAAAAAAAAGTTAGTTTTTGAAACAGACATCACATGTAATTTCCTTCAGTTGGTGACCACAAGAGCACATAGAACATTTGTAAGCATTCTTTTATGCATAAACCTTGTTTACAACCTATGAGCAAAACCTTAAGTCCAGGGTCCTTTAACATTATAACTTCTTTTCCAAAAAATGTAAAATTATAATTGTAATAATTTTGAAAAAATATCATGTTTCAGTCATTGTTGATAAAAAAATATTTTACTCTGCCAGGCATGACTTGACCAATCATGAAAAAGTTAATCTGCTGCATGCACCAGGGCTGTTGTTTCATTTTTAACTTCTCACTTCCCTGAGGTGATTAACATACATATATTTCCTCTCCTCTCTATAATTTTTCAATACATTATCCAACCAACATTGATAAGAACTGACAAACTTGTGAAACTTGTGTCTCAACCTAACACCGAACTCTTGGAACTAATTTGAAAAGTCATGTCATGTAGCAAGATGGGAAAATTATGATGAAGTAATGAGTTCATAACATGAAAATTTGCTAAAAGTGACCCTATGGATCCAGGGTCACAGTTCAGGGCACAACAGGCATCAGATTGAGAACACATTTAATAAATATTACATTCAATTATTTACAACTGCTTAAGGTAAAGGTTAATGACAAAGGCTGATAATTCACCAGTTGCTGTCACAGACAACCCCAGTTTCAATCTTGATAATCAAAATCATTATTTAACCACTCAAAAGTAATAAATAAAAGCAAGACCTAGTTCTGTGAAGCAGGGACATACAACATTCTGTGGTTACAAAAATATCAATACATATTATTTTGTTATCTGTAATCTATTCAATAACATCATTTTTAATTATCAATGCTTTGTCAATCCAGTGCTATAGACAAACCGACTGATATGTTGGTATCTTTGACTTGATGATTGGAACACTTTCCTACAGAGAAAATACAACAATTAATAGACAGTAGGTCTTAACTTTCTGAATTACAGTAGCAGAGAAAATCTTACCTTGTCAGCCAGAAAAATTGAAGACAAAAAAAACCTCATCACAGAGGAGACGATAAACTTTGTTTTTCATCACAAAATCTAAAAGGTGTTCATTTCATTAGGGCTTGATGATAAATGGCAAAAAAATAAAACACATTACTGCTACATACCTTTCCCAAGTTCTGTTCAAGTCTCTGCAGTGCATGCAGGATTATTTCTTTTTGAGTTTTGTCCATAAAACGTTTTGACACCTGAAACAATAATTTAAAACATCAGCAATAGCATTAGCATTAAATTTATAGACCTCCTCAGCTGTTGTTTTGTTTTCTCAATGAGGGTCTTGTAATAATGCTCTAGAGAACTGTTTCTTTCAAACTTTTTCCTTTTCAAACGCATATGTACTTGTACTTGTACTTGTGCAAAGCAGCAAAAAAAATAAATAAAATAAACACTCTGTGAAGTAGACTTAAATAAAAATCAAATTCACAGCCTACATGAACAGTGCATAATGGACTAATTAGAAAACTACACAGGGATTCTTTGACTTATGGGGTAGGCTTTTCAAGTTAAAGCTTCTGTATGTGTTACATTGTCTAAGAAACAATGAGGTACAGAAAAGGTGAGGAAACCTGGTAACTATTTCACAGTTTAACCCTTTAACACCTAAGGGTGACCAGCATCTAATTTCTCCTAACAATATCACCCCTAAATCACACATAAAGGTCACAAGGAAAAAGGAAATGATCACCAATGATAGAAGCTCTAGATTGTTAAACAAATTCTCCTTGTCAACACCTTAGGAAATGTATTGAGAACAGTATGGAGAAAAGGAGAATATGTTTACTGTTGTTTAAGTGTAAAGGATTAATGCTCAAGCAGAGTTGATCCATAGCACTCAGATGATAACCAATAGTAGGATAAAAAAAGAGTAGTAGTCTGGACTTACATGTACAGAGTGGGGGTCAGAGAATTAAATGTAAGCTTGATCTTTGCTAAGCAATGACCAACCCCCCTCCCCTTCCAGACCCCTCAAAAGGCAAGTGATAGAAATACCCTCTCTGGAACACAACACACACCCTACCCCTAAGAACTGTGAGTGGTTGGTTTGGGGTAGAATAGAAATAGAATATTACAGTAGTTGTGTACCTGTGGCAAAAGAGCCTTCAAATGAGGGTTGAGGGCAGAACCAACAACTGAACTGAGCTGCACCAGAGCTTCCAAAGAACTGTGAAAAACTTGCGTGTCACTTGAAGCCTAGATAGAAAAAACAAAAGTCAAGTCATTTGTTTTGATATTTACATGTATTGCTAGAGGCAAGGACTTGACTTTTACCAGAATTAAGATAACTATCATAAATTAGGAAGATTTCAATCATGTGTAAATTTATTAGAACAAAAGAAACTGATTTCATCTGAAGAGAGTTTAAATCCAACAGGACTGACCTGGACAAAAACATGACCATTATTCTTTTGTTTTGGTAGCCAACATGGCTATCATAATGTTTATGACATCATGTGAAAATGATCAAGTACAATGTAGCTAATTACAGGTTTTCACTTCACATTCAAGTTGCACTGTAAAAATTAAACAAGGTAGCCTGTTGGGTGCATGATATAATCATGTTCAGAGTTTTCAATGTTTAAAGGCCAATGTAGCCTTCATCATTGATATTTTTGACTCATCCTTTTTAATTTTCATCTTTTTTCAAATAAGAAAATTATTCTAGAAGATGACAATTAATGGTTAAACATGAGCAACCTTCTCAGCTTTCTCTATCAAAGAGTGCACAAGCGACTATTAATCTTGAAGAGTTCTCAAATAAACTTACCAGTGCAGCTCTAAGAGGTACAATTAGTTTTGGTAGAATTGGTAATGTTCGAGATGTAGCATCATCAATTTCAAGCATTTCTCTGAATCCTTCACGTGCAACAAATGTATAAGGATGTTTTGTCTCTCTGAGACCCTACAAAAACAAAAGTTTTAGCCTGGTTAACACATAAGATCACTACCTATTGACATCAACCATCACCTAAGTCCACTAAAAGAAATACTGAGATACAAGTATAATTTGTGTCCCATTCAGTCACCAGCAAAACATGTTTAATCAAACCAGGTTCAACTGAATGAAAGGAAGACTGATAGTTGCATTTTACAAAGGGTTTAATGAATCACTAGATCACATGTACACTGCACAACCTGTTATTACAAAGAAAACCTTGCATTGTATCTTTAGGCTTTGACATTAATTGTAAGAGTACACATCTAAAAAAAATATTCTGTAGCATACTGGTGTGAAACAATTCATATTTGTCTAATACTAAGTAATCTAAAACTAAAATTTTCTGATCTCTCTCCTGTAACTTCCTCGCAAGTCTTTTGAGCCTAAAATTGTACAATATTGCTGTCACTCACCTCTGCTAATGTAATTAACACAGGATCAAATGGCAGGTTATCAGGAGAAGTACTCCACTGAAGTTTGTGTTTCACAGAGCCATGAACCAACCTTTGAAAACAATTGTGAGCAAGTCAACTCAAGATCACAATAGCTTGTTGTGTTGGCCCAAGCATTACACACTCACTAAGAAAATTGTTTGATTACATTGTACCCATCCCACCTTAAGTTAATAAACTCCATAGTTGCGGTATCTTTTGTAGCACCTTAATGAAGTTTAACTGAGTAAGAAAAAATATCACGGTCTTGTCTACAAGTACAGAGATAGAAAAGAGAAAGCCATAAAAAAGTTGCGATTCATTTGCACACAATGCTAACACTGATGACTTTCCATCTCCTCTGCCTAGCCTTACATGCACATACAGCCACTTACTCCTACATCTACAGGTTTGTTTAAGAGTGCTTCAAGCAGGTTAGCTTCAGTATTTACTGCTCAGGGTTTTCTGTCTGGTTAAATTATTAATCCAAGATGCAGCTAAGAGGACATAAGATCAATTCTGATTAAAAATAGACTCTATGTTGCCATGCATTTTTTTCTGTAATAGATACAGTAAAATGCGGTAAGCACAAAAAAAAGTGGCACAGGAGGTGCATCTGAGTATGTCACTGATGTTCTTCATGTCTTCTGTGATCTACTGCTGAACAGACCCTCAGCAAAATGAAATCTATTTGTTTTATATATTAATAAGGAAATAAGATACTGTCGATGATGACATTATTTTTGCATCTAACCTCTGAAAGATCATAAGTAACAACCAAAAAAAAGCAGGCATAATTCAGCTATTTATATAATGCCAAAAGCTAACACTGTATAGTTTTCAGCATTGTCTATCTATCTCAAAATTGATAGAAAACCTTTGGTTTTGTTTGAACATCACACTGCTCAGGATCCAACAAACAATATTAGAAGTTAAATACTTTTAATGCACTAATAATATATATGAAAAATTACGCATTTCCCTTAGGTTGAAAATGAGTGCATTTTTCATGTAACACAAGTGCAAAATTATAGCACAAGTACAAATTATAGCACACACACCCTGTTGAAATTCTATCTGTCTTGCCTTTCTGTGATGCTTTTTCTTGTGAATTACTTATAAATAATAACATGATTTCTCATGAAATTTGGGGGACTTATTAATAAGGATAATAACATGATTACAAGTACAATTTGGTATTAATAAGTACAAGTAAATATTTCAAAGACTACAAATAGCACTGGCCCTTCAAATAATAAGCCCTCTCTCTAATACCAAGCCAAGATAATATGGGTATTTTTAACTTTAAAATGCATGTGATCACAGACTTCAGTTAACTGTCCGACATGTAGATCAGTCTTTCAATCAGACGCTAATGAAAGAGTAAATTACAATTATATGAGTCACAACAGCAAGGCAATGAAAGGATTCTCTTGTTAAGTTTTTATGCTTTTTAAATGAATACATATACGTACAGTGTATGCCGTGAGTGAACAGATTTGCCACAAAGTCTGAATGCGTGTTTAACTAAAGCCTAACTACATGTAGATGTAACCATTTATATTTATGTTTGCAATTATATATTGAAAGGTTGTGCAAGGAAAATTCCTTTAAACGAATTGAACACGACTCACCTGCACGGTACTCCGCCGTTTGTATAACTTGCAGCAAAAGAAGACTTTGGCGTCGTGTCATTAAACTTAAACCAAAGAGATGAATTCAGGTTACATTTGTTTACTGTATTAAGACCTTGGCCTTGAGCTGTCAACATCGTAAAAAAATTAATTATTTATATCGGTTTGAGCTAAACTAAATCCATACCACGATGTAAAAAAAAAACTGCAGGATTGAATGAAGGAAGAATCGTTATCTAAGCTTCTTTGTATAAAGAGGTAATTCTAAGGAATATTTCCCTACCGGATCCACAGTCTTTGGATTCAAGACGTCTGAAGGACGATGTCTCGTTGCGGACTTGAAAGCTGGTGTTGGAACCTTTGCCGCGGGGACGAATCGTTTTGAGCTACCATCAGAACTGTTCAGACGCTTCTTGGTATCAGTGCTTCTTGGTGTTGGTGTTTTACTTCCTTGCACAAGCGGAGAAGGAGGTTTCTTTCCACGAGAAACCACTTGGCTGCGGTCGCCATGTAGCGACGCAGAAGCCATTTTGTTTACTCCTATGCAAATTTCCCGAGTGGGGTGGGGAGACAATTTATGCCTTGTGAGGGTAGAGAGAGGAGAATGCTGGTGGTTACCCAAGCTAGGATTAAGCTTCTTTGACCACAGATCTTGAGCACGTTGCCGAGTACGTTTGCGAGCGCGAGACAATTATGTCAATTCAGGTTTCAGGTGTTTATTGCCTCCCAATTCCAATTTGTTGCTGCTGTTTTCTATTCACAAAAGATGAGGCAAGATCGGTGTTTTTGAATATGATATATACACAGTCTAATTTTATTGTCTGTAGCTCCTTTCTTAGTTAATTGGCACGCCAAAATACTTTTAACACTTTAACCCTTTCCTCAACAGCGCTTTCTCTCTCCAAACTTTTTAAAGAATTCCTGAACATAGCCTTCACAAGGCGTTCTAGATCGATTTATTGTGGCTGTCAAGGTTTATTAAATTGCGATGAGTGTACCACGCTGAGGAGAGAAAAGTACCCCAATTTATTTCATCCATTTTGAAACCACTGGTGATTCTTGTAATCTGATTGGCTCTCATTGGTGCGATTTATTCACGAATCGCAACATGTCTTGCTCTAAATCGCATCTTATTTACCCAGCCAATGGGAAAGCTTTACTCAAATACTACAATCAATTACTTGTTTAAGGAAACCAATCAGATTGCAGGACTCTAAAATACAACCTTTGCAACCTTCAACAAACCATGGCTAGCTCACTACTGGATCAACAAAACATTTAAAAGATTTTGCGATTTCAAAATGGAGGTAATAAAATGGTAATTTAACTTCATGTCGTGCAATTTTGGTCCGAAATCATACTTCCGATTTCAAATCAAAAACTTGCTATGCACTCGTTTGAATTTGATATCACTCATATGATTTCAGACCAAATTGCACTCCACTCAGTTCAACAACCATTATATAACAACTTCTCACTTCATCACGAATATCGTCCATTTCTTATCTAAAGGCATAAGTCACTTAGAAAGAAACCTCGCATCCGCGGCCTATGTTTTTCATCTCTGCCGATTTTGTTCCTCGATCGTAATGTTTCGTTTTGCAAGTATTTTTTTTTTAGTTGTCTCCTGTTTTTCTTTGTCTTTATCATTTATATTTCGGTTCAGGGGTTTTGACCGGAGTTAACTTCAATTATTGAAATCAAGAATTAGGTCCATCGCTCCCAGAAGTTTCCCCATAACCATCGATAAATTATTAAAGCCTAACAGGTATTCAATTTCAAGGTTTACTTTCAAGCGCTTCACTTGTGACTTAGATAAATTAAAAAGAAAAATCCCTGTGTAAAGCAGATGGCTTTTAAATACCACTGCGAATGCCCGGGAGCAAAGACGAGAAAGAAACTCCCACAGATACGGACAAGCATACAGCAGCAACAGAAAATTACAAGGAACGGGAATGTGAAAGTGGAAGAAAATTGCTTAACCCTAAGTGTATCATAATTAGCGCATATTTTGTCTTCCTGTTATGGAGATTTATTAGCTTAGGTCTTTACTCTGTGTACGCAACAGATTGTTTCTTACGAGCTAAGCTTGCCACGCTGAGATGTGAGAATTTTACTTTGTATTCAAACCCAACGAGGTTCGAAATAGCATGGCAGATGTGTTCGGCCGTGAATAACTTCATTGCTGTGGGGATTTTGTTTAAACTACCGGAGTTTCCTGGTCTGGATGTTGTTTGCGCTCGTCTGATTAAACTGGCCCGGTTTTGGTCGTTTATCTTCCAGCTGGTCGTGGTCATCTCCTATAATCTTATGCTGTTCTTTCACGAACATTTAATGGAAAGTGCCATGATAGAGGTTGGCTTTCTCGTTGATGAAATTACCGTTACGATTGTGGTTTGCTTGTGGAATTTTGTACCTGCGCCAAGCAACAGGTCGCAAGGGCTACCCTGCCTCCAGTTCGCTTATAAATTGACACTTGTTATGCTATTTTTAGAGAATTTTTTTCTGTTCTTGTTGATGTCTTCGCAAGCAGCACTAGACATTACAGGAATCCATCAATTCGAAAGTCGGTCGACAGGATTGCAAGCTCTTGGGATTGTACTCAACGCAACTGAGGCTACATTTTATTTTGCTGTCATGAAGTTCATGTGGAATAAGCTGTTTGAAGGAGAAGCTGTTGATCTGCTAAAGAAGGACACCATTTGAACACGTTTTTATATTCCGTAACGCGAAAGAAATGATATCGAACTTTACGAAAGAGCGGTTGAATATTCATGAGTAATTTAAAACCAGCAGTAAACGCCACCTGACAGTTAAAATCAGGAGTTTACTTCCGAAATGATTGAATACCGTCACTAGGTAGCCTACATTCTGGCCATAAAGACAGCACCTAGTAATCATTTGAGGAACACTAAGGAGAATCTAACTCTACCTCTCCTCGGAACCATCAGCCACAGGTCAAAATATTATTACTTGTGTTCTTTTATTTCGCCAAAATGACAGTCTCTTAATTATGACGCGCATTCGTCAATCTGTCGTCAATCTGTCGATGTCATCAGATACATTTGGCAAAGAGTAGACTAAAGGCAAGACACCGAGAAGAAAGACGTCGATCTTATACGAATCGATCTTTGAGTTATAAATGTGGCTTAAAAGTTGGGAGTTTATACACATAGCTTTCCTGTGTTGGACTGAAAAGTCTTTACTGTGTTTAATTTTTTTTATTGTAAAATACAATATCTATTTTTGACCAATCAGAGTTCCGGTGGTGTCTCAGTGATTTTATAACCTGGTATAACGGCTATGCTTTAGTTTCATCTCCAAGTTTCAAAAGCAGAGAAACATTAACGAAACGTGGCATCCTCTTTGAATTATCTCATAAGTCATGATAAGGGCCGGGTAATTAATGCGTCCTGATGCAGATACTAACTTGAGCCTACTTGTATGCTATAACATGCTCTTTAGTTTCTAGCGGGTAAAGGTTGCAAGAAGTCTGTGTATGTGTGTGTGTGTGTGTGTGTGTGTGTGTGTGTGTGTGTGTGTAGTTGTAAAAAGACTTGCAAATATTTTACTTTTCATTCCCTCGAAAGATTCCTCGTTCGCTTTCTATTTCTCCAGCCATGAAAATAGAACACTGCACAGTAGACCGTCCGGGACTGGGAGCGAGAGTAGGTGCACCGGCCTAAAAAGGAGACATGCGCGGAAGTAAGAGTGGAGTGTGCGTGTCAGCTTCCAATATAAATAACTTGCCGGGGAAAGCCTGTCACTGAAAAAGACTGCACACTCTGCTGTCTCGTTAAGTAATATAATGCCAGACATTAGTCCCCCGCTTGGTCAAACAAATTTATGAGTGGTAGTATAGCCTACCTTCTCCTGTCACTTTTCAACAAGAAACATTTTGGTTAGCCGTGCGCACCAGCTTAACCTAATCTCACTAGACAGTTTTCATGGGAGGAAATGATCGCGAACAATTCCTTACATTAGAGAACTACGATAAAATTTTGCTAAATTCAGTCGAAAATCACCTTTCGTGAGTCCTTTCAACATTTCAATGACATCTGCGCGTCAAGGTATCACACAGGAGGGAGACCTCTCCCCTGAGGCATACCATAAGATTTAGGAACCCATTTCGTTTGTGTACTCTTTGGACTGGCCGGAGGACTGTCTGTTTTCATCCCTCGTCGTCTGTCCAAGTCTCTCATAACAGAAGGATCGAGCGATCCCCGGCGATGCTCGGGTTTGAAGCCGGAAGGTGTTAACTTGAGGTTAAGTTTAGCTTTCGTCGGAGGTGAAGATGGCATTCGGGTTATGAAGGTTGAGTCGGAATCTTCCGTGGAGTCTCCGGTTGATTTCGCCCTCGGAAGCTTCGATAAAGCTGGTAGTATGATTTTTCCATTCTTTCTGCCAAGATTTGATAAATCTTCACAAGATCGCGATAGAAGCGCATTTGACGGAAGACTTGCGCTTAGTAGTGATGATTCTGAGCATAGATTCTCGGTAGACTTCGACAAACTTTGGTTGACGAGACTTGGATCAAGAGGCTCGAGAAACGGCATCGATCCCGATCGTGGTCGGTGTTTGAGCATTGCCTTCCGATCTGACTTACGATCGGATAACGATGATGTCGAATGCGGCCTCATACGATGTTCACCGTTTGTTGATAAATGTTTCATGTTCTGTTTTCTTTTCTCTATCTGTATCTTCTCCTGTTTTTCCTGAAGCTGAGCCATCTTTTTAACCATTTCCTTCTGCTTGTTGCTCATTTCAGACATGCTATAATGTTTTTGTCTCTCAAGATCTTTAACCTGCTTAGCGTGCCGTTGACTATGGTATATGTTCGAGGCGTACAAACTTTCAATTGCTGAGCGCGACTGAATAAGAAACGATTCATAAAACGCGTTCTCCGCTGGAGAGCGATCAGTTTCGGTGACATCTTCACTTTCATCAGTGACAGTCACCTTCGGTGTTTGAGGTTCGCTTGACATGTCTTGAACACTGCGAGAAAAATCTGCAATTGAAAATGATTTAGCTCAACAATGTGTAATCACAAATAATTCGCTACATTCCTCTGTCGCTACCGTAACCAACATAAAACGTTCTCAAACGAATACACGTTTCTAAGCTATATGAAAGAAAGCGTTCTTATGCTGCATTTCAATAGAAACCGTCTTACTCTGGAATCCACAAGGGGGCAGTTTCACCAAAAGGTTGAAACTGAAGAGCGAAACGACTTCTTAAGACTTAAGAGACGTGATTTAAAGTAAAACAATTGTCCAAATCAAGTTAATGGTTCCATTCAGAGACAATTAGTTAAATGATTTTCTTTTGTGTTGATGTCTCTGTCTCTCATTAAGTAAGATCGCACCCTTTACCGTTTTCACGCCAGATTTCCATACAGCTTTGTATTTCAAATAATGGGTATTCCAAATCGCTATACAACATAATAAAATATCGTAAATTACTCTTGATTGCTTGAAGCGGGAACCAGAACAAATTTTCGCCGAGTTAAGCACCTAAGAAATATAATCTTTATTATTATACAACCAATTTTTGAGTGAATTAAATTCAAATTTATGTCATTAAAAGTCTGTTATACCTGAAGAATTGCTCTACTTCATGCTTAACTAGATATCGCCGAAGAGATGAACTGGCAACGACAATAATCAATTACAATTAGCTTGACAAAACATGCAAACAAGAGAGGGACGAATTTGGTTTGGTGGACCGATTCTTCCGTTTCTTGATCTGAGCACCTCAGCAAGCCAAACACGCTGTGTAATAAGGTGATCTGCATGATCACTCTAGTAGAGACGAACTTTATGTGGTCCATGCCACGAAACTACCACACTGACTTACATAAGTGGTACTCTAATGAATAAGGAAAATTGATGAATAAGAATTAGACATTACAAACTCCAATCACCTCAGTTTTTCACAGATCGACGCGAGCTGGATTTCTTCGCCGGCTGCGGGATAAACGCTTGGATAGAGACAGAGCTGTTAGTGTTGTTACTCCGCAGTACTAAAAAATACGGGTCGAGTCAATTTACTCACAGTTTGACTTCAGATTGACAACTTTTTGTTGTAGTTAACGAGTTATTATGCATTAATTATTTGTACATAAAAGTACAGTGACAGCAACTGCAATCAGAACACTTCTGCGGTGACAGCCAAGTCGCCAGTCGGAATAGTTTCTTTTGTCCCCGTCTCGTTCTTATTGAAGAGCAAAGGACGAAAATGAAAGAAAAAAAAAAAAGAACGCTTTGTACTTGTGGCTCCTGAAGCTTCACTGATTGGGCAGATGACTTCGAACACATTCGGTGATAGCTCTGTATCAGCTTTCGATTTCTTTGGAGTAAGCCGTCCGCATAGGTGGTCTGAAACACTGAGGGTTTTCGCATTTCCGTGTTTCATGTTTATTTTCACTGAGCACCCAATAAACCTTGAGCTTTGCGGGGGCAAGAGTGAATCCGTGCCACACCCTCAAAACATGACAGATTGGGGTGTTTTGCCTTTGTCAGTCCTAAAAAAAAAAAACCTCCAGAATATCCTTTTGGGGAAAGGTGCCTAATGATCATCCATGTTGGGCATAAAAAACTTCATGTTATGTAATAGGCGGGAACAGAGGAAGGTTCCAAGGAGTCCTGACCCCCTCTCCACACCCATCGGGCTTTGGTTATTTTTTTACTCCTTGTCTGACATCAAAATTCTAGCAATGAAAAGATAATATATTATACTTTTTTTGCAAAATCACATGTCAGGGGGGGTTAGTCAGCGGGAAGGGCAATATCGAGATATAACGAGAGAATCCTGGGTGGAGACGGAGTAGGAGGGAGTGTTAATTTTGTTCCATGCTGTCAAAAGACATTTCTCACCAGCGAAGAAGGTTGAAAAAAATTAGATCTCCCGAGAATATTCGAACTCCAGATAGATCCAATTACGTGATAGGATGTTCTACCATCAAACTAGTGAGAACTCAGTCGCTAACAAACTAGCTTTAATAAGCGTCCATTTATATTACACGTTGTTTCTAGTAACTGCCAACAATGGGATAGAAGGAAAAAAAGACTGAAAGGAGATGCTATCAAGAGATCAAAAGCGTAACTGAATTACATCCAAAATGTGGCCACGTTTAGCAAATCAAGTCCTGTTCAGTCCCCTAACCAAGAGGTTACTCTGAATCACCTCAAGATATGAAAAGAGATCTGTTTCAGTGCAAAGAATTGTACTTTCATCCATTCTGACACCGAAATGAAGAAGAAATTAAAATCAAAGTGGTGAAAACTGTGAAAAAACTGCATCAAATGATAATCTTATTGATAATCTAAGAATTACGTATATTTATGTACACTTAATTTCTCCTGAATCAAAATATCTAAAATATCGACGACCTCAGCTGCAAAAGGAAGGAGTGAAAACACGTCATTTATCGTATATTGGTTAGTGTAACCCTCCGGCTCAGAAGAGAACACTCCTAATTAAAACTGTTTTTTTTTAACCCTGTATGGTCAACTTTATGCACATGCCTTATTATGATATTTAAAAATGTCAAGTAAATTTTCCACCTACAGTTTTTGGTTTCAAAAAGCCTCTTACTACTTTCATAGAATATTTGACTTCCTTTCCTACATTTTGCTCCATGCAATCCCCCAAGATGTTTCATTCATGCTTCATTTTTACCTTATGATTTCATATCTGGCGCTTGAATTTTACAGAAAAGTGAGCGTGATTCATGACTTTATGAATCAGCGTGAGGCGTGATTTGCCTCCTGAAATATAAGACCGCGAATTTCAGATTTCCTAGCAACCCTCTATACAAGAAGAGAGATTTGAAGTTTTCCCTTTTATATACGTGGTGCGAGAATTTTTCTAAAATTTAAGACCTTCTCCCCTTTGCTACCCTCATTTCATAAGACATTTTTTTTATCATTTTCCTCTGAGACTTCTTAATTTTTTTTTTGCATAAGCTATGATAATGTTAAACTGACTGCATGTAGTGATAAAAAATCACGCCAATTAATTTGCAAAATGAAACTTGTGTTGGACACAGAGTCTATTTCTTTACACCACCATGATACCAGGTCTTATTTTCAAGTAATTGGCCTCTACTGGAATATATTGAACAACCAGGCATGCAATGGCTACAACAGTCTCAGCCTCTCTCTTATCTTCCTGGTGAATAGGTAAAACAAAACAAAGTTGGCAAGACCCTGGCTGTTGTCTCCAGTAGCCCTAATATTCATTTGAATGAAAATTGGAAAAAGACAGAAAGACAATTATTTTTAAGTTCAGATTATTGTAATCACCAAGACAAATGGAAAGTTAATCATCTGCAGGATCTCAAGCCATTGGATGGACATACTAATACCATTTTGTCCACAATCAGGCAAGCATTGAATACTAAGTGAACCTAAAAATTGATAGAGTTGAAATGGAATTGGTGCCGAGGGCCGTACAGTTAATAATAATAATTAATAGAATTTAATACTTATATAGTGCCATATACATATGAATATTATCTAATGTGCTTTAAAACAACTGAAATAAAATAAGTAAACCTAACAATTAAAAACTTAACATAAATTTGTATCTGCAGATCTCGCCATCATCAAAATTACTATCTCAAAATAATCTAATATTGAACAATACATGGCATTTAAAAACTAACATAAAATACTTTAAAAAGCTAAATATTGATTATAAATTATTGATGATATGATATATAGTAAAATGCCTAAATCCTTGATGGATTGATCAGTTCATCTGATGAGTACATAACACACTCTCATTGGTCAAGGATTGCATCATATCTCACTATAATCACTTTGCCTAAGGCGATTATGGCCCTCCTTTGCCATTATATCAAACAAGCACCCCCATTCTCCTCCAATTTCTTGAATAGTCTGGATATATGGAAAACCTGTTTATATTGCCACTTTATTAACAGCTTTTTAAGCTTGAACTACAGTGGAATCAGTACAAGAGAATAGTTCAAATCTATCCTGTTCTAGTTATTTCTATTTCTATTTTCTTGCACAGTTCCTTTATGTGTCATCTTTTCTTTCAATTTTTGTTCTAATGCTGCACAATCTCAATAAGCACCCCCCTTGATTAAGCACACTCCTTCCTATAACTGCCTTTCATTTTTAGCCAAAAGTTTAAGTAAGTGCCCAGGTACTTATTCTAGGAAATACAATATTTTGTATAAGTGCAGTTGAGGCTACATGTATTATTTTCCTTTTTATTTGTCTAGGATGCTAGAAGGAGGGCTAGGAATAAATAATCTGCCTCCCTTTATCATTGGTAACCCTAAATATGAACATCAAGGCATCCACTACAACCTACAAACTTAAATCTCCTAAACATCATGATATAAAACATGCTCTTATTAGATTGAGTTGGCCTTGACTTAAGGTTAGAGCTAGGGGGTCAACAAAGCCTTCACGTTTGCACATTAAAAATTGTTAGTCAAATAGGACATTTGAGAAAAGGTTAAAGAAAAATCCCCAACAAATATCTATTCAGAATTTAACAGAAGTTCTTAACAACCCTGATCCATCTTATCAACATATCAAGCATTAATGGTTTTTATCTGGTTTCTTCTCCATCTTTAACCACCTTTGTCATTAATTAAAGGGGTCAATGGAACAGAGGCCCAAGTGACTTTTGAGTTAAGCTCAACCTCTCCCTTTGTTTCATTAGAGAAACATACTGACAATAATTGTTTGGAGTGACAATCTGCCAGTTTATCAGAAATCACATTGGAATTTTGGTAGACCCATTCATCTACATAAGTTATCTTCCACCTACAACCAGGTCTCCAAAGAGTTTAAAAATATCTTTTCAGATAAAAAAAAAACTAATCAACTGCTCCATAACATAAATTTGTACTCCTAGACAAGGGATCTTGTTCTGCAGAATATTTACAAAATGGTATAAACCTGCCACAACAATGTCTGAACTTGTTCCTAATCTTGACAGTAAATAAACAAAACAGAACAAAATCGGCAAATCCCTGACTGTTATCACCAATTCCCTGAAATTAAACAGGAATAATTAAAGTCATTTAGTAAAAAATACCTTTGAATACTTTAGTTCAATTTTACACATACTACATTGTTCAAAATTCTAACCATTTACACCTTAGAATCACATTATGACTTGATTACTGGAATACTTGTAAATAATAATCTGAGTTAACTGAAGTCTCTCCTTCTCTCCTATATAATATATACCTACTGTATTAGTGTGAGCTTTTAAACTCAATCTGTCAATGCAACTCCCATTTTACAGCCTTCCAAACCACTATATATTGAATGAATTATTTAATATATACAAAAGGGTCAACTGATGGCTTTACCTGAGCCAATGTTTCTATACTTTGGGTAATCACATCATTTCAAGTGCAATTTGGAATAAATAAGCACTAGTAAATTTTTTCAAAGACTAACAAAATTGCACGAGCCCTTGGGGTGAGTGCAATTTCTGGTTTTTGAAAAAATTTACGAGTGCTTATTTATTCCAAATTGCATGAGAAAAATCATGTGATTATGTATTAATAATTTATATGAAAAAACAAGAGATAGATTATCATAAATATGCAGAGGAAAAGCCTGCACATCAAGTGCAAAAATAATTTATTCAAACAGTGCGTTTGGTCAAAACAACCACGTACAATCAAAACAATAATATACAATGATATTTTCACATCTTTAAGGCATAAAAAAGTTCAAAGTCTGGCTAAACAGTTCAAGGAATTGTTCAGTATGGTTTGTTACTTCTTTGGACTGAATTAACCCTCTTCTGCATTGAATTACCTGAAAACTGCATTTATCTTATCCAGTTAGAATTGAGTATTTTTGTCATGTATCTTATTAGAAACAACATCAAACTCTCCTCACGTTCAACAAAGAGACAGGACAATCTAGTAGGAGAATCTTGCAGTCGATCAGGCTACAGCACTTCCATGCACCCCCTTCACTAATGGGGTTTAGTTAGAGGGTACTGGATGTGACTCATGGTCCAAACTCTGTAGACTTCAGATTTCTAGATTTATATTGTCTATTTAACAAACAGATTCCAAGTTGCCATGCGTCTGTTCAGTAATAGATCACAGATGACGTCAAAATGTGGTAAGAACAAAAAAGAGGCACACGAGGCGCAGCCGAGTGTGTCACTGATGTTCTTACCACATTTTGACGTCCTCTGTGATCTATTACTGAACAGACGCATGGCAACTTGGAATCTATTTGTTTTATATAATAAAGAATTAAAATATATAGAAAAAAAGTTTTAATGATGATGTCATCTATACATCTGTCCTCCAATAGATCATAAGTGAGAACCAATCAGAATGCATGCATAACTGAGCTTATTATATAATATCTAGAAATATGAAAAAGTTAAATGAGAAAATTTGAACTAAATTCTTTAGTTGTAAAATTCTGACAAGAAAAAATATCTGGATATATGTTGTCATTTTAATTCAACCACAAAGGAAACTTTAGAGGCAATCGAGTAGAGTACTTACATGGAGTATGATGAGCCATTTATGCACGGGTGGGTCACGCGGGTGATAAGCCAAGAAAAAAATAAATCTTATGGTTCCCCAGATGCGTAACAAAATGAACACCACAGGGATAAATATTAATTTTAGTTCTGCCTTTCTTGCCACTTCAACTGATTTCAGAGTCAGAAAATGGCTTCCTGGAACAAATCCACAATTCAGCTATAAAGATGGAAAACAAAACAAAACGAAACAATAAGAAGAAATGTCTGTACTGTTCTACACCTACTGCACAGCCCTCTTTTCTGTAAAAGCGTAATTTTGTTACAATTCCGGTCTCCAATACTGACAGTGTTGATTGTGCGGACCCTATCAGGGGCAATTTGATGGGTGTGCTTACCAGTGGGTACTTGAATGTTATGGAAGAGAGGGATTGAGGCCGTGGAGTGGGGTCAAACGGGTAACACCTACCTCATGTTTGATTTGCAACTTAACCAAAACGCAGAACACGGAAATTGCAATGTATGCTAAGATTTCCCATCCCTTTCCAGCAATGGACATCCACAAAACAGTCCTCCACCATGCTTTTCCACTTTCAGACTTGATCCAACACCATCCCGATGACACCATGTCCTGGGAGTTTCCTACTGCTTGTACCCCAAAGCCTACCGCCGCTATCACCACAGGAATTCCCCATGCCGTTACATGAAACAACCACATAGTGATTTTCTCCGTCCTCTCAGTAATTTTTTTGCAAATCGTCAAATAAAAATAAAGGGATAAATACACGGTCCAAAAGAAAGATGACAAAATGGCAGCGATGTTAACCGTTGCTTGGATTTCACAAGTTATTAGGTCGTTGTTCAAAAAGATGCCTATTATGTTGGAGCTGGCCACCAGGAGATCGCCAAACGATATAAAAACGATCATGAGACGAGATTTTGTTCTCACATCGGGCCACAGGCAGAACGTGATAATAATAGTTAAAGATCCCAGGATAGAAAGTGATGCTGCTGTAGTGGACAAGATCTGATCGAGAGGCTTCTCTGCGATTTGTACTTGTTTGTTGTCAGTTGTCGAAGAAGCTTCGGTTGTAGTCAGCTGAAATACGCGAGAAATAACCTCCATCCCCTTAAGTGCACACCCTTCAGCTAACTTTTCGTGTTCTTCTGATTAAATCAGTGCGTGATCCGATCGTGTGAGATTTTGGAAGCCGGGAAATTACAGTTCCTTGTTGACCGTTGAAATTCACGCAACTTATCACGTGACGTTCCTTGGGCAGTGACCACATGAAGGACGCGCGTGTGCTGTTTTGCCCGCGCGAGGATAGATCCCGCGACGATACGGGCCAATCCTCTAAATTTCCCCTCTTAACCCTTTAACTCCCAGATCAAATTTGTAATTCTCCTTACTGTCAATCATACAATTCATTCAATATTTGTTCAGAGAATTCAGTATTGGATCTACTAGTTATCCCCAAATTTATATTTTTCTTTATTCTCATCACTTATCTTGTTGATATTGTATCGATATTGTAAGGAGAAATTCTGTCTTGATCACTCATGGGAGCTAAAGGGTTAAAATGTTTAAATGGCAGAAATTTAAGACTAAAATACACTTTTTGGTGTGATCTAACTAAAGCAGTTGTAATCCTATATTTGTTCCTCTGGAGAACAGTTGTTAAAATCCAAAACTACTGCCTTTCCTATCTGTTTAATTTTACACAGTCTTAGGATTTCCATCCCATACATAAAAAAAGATGTACTAAAGGGGACTGTATGAAATACACCTAGTAAAAAATTAGAAATTATAACATCTTGTGAGCACACTACTACAGTAAAGGATCAATTACCGATAAGCCCAATGTTTGCAATTCTTCCTGTATATCCCTCACTCTAAAGAGTGAATTAATTAGATGGCAGTGCAACACTTATGAAGGGAGACAAAGAGAAAATTAGGGGAAAGGGTAGAAAACCCAGGGAGGAAAGTAGGCAGAGAGAAGAGAATAAGAATATAGCGACGCTTGATCGCCGCTAGCTGGACCGTACGAATCTCACTGATCGACACAACAAATATCGCCCCAATTTCTTTCATGGAACGCCTCCTTTGTTTAATGTCGTATTTGACCGTGAAGCTAAAAATAATTGATTCACAAAATTAGGGACAAGAAATTAGCTATAGAAACACTCGAGGTAAATTAAACTTACATTGTTGCCGGATCTGGCGAGAGTTGACACAAAAGGACCTTTCCTTCCTTCGATAAAAACGACAGACAATTTCTTTCTATTAAACCACGAGTGCTTGCGAAATCGATCGAATTATTGAATTGCACAATAGATCCGTTCTGTTTGGAAATGCGATACCACTTACGGAACGCGTGACGAGGCACCTAGTGTGACTTTTACAGATTATTAATTAAACGATTACTAAATCAAAACAAGGGATAAACCCGTGCCTTAGGGGCACTTACAAAGAAGGTTGAACATAATAATGTGGGAGAAGAGTAGAAAAGGTAGGGAGGAAAGTAAGGCGATGAGGCAGAGAGAAATAGAGAAGACGCCATAAATGATTTGGGAGAAGGGTGGAAAGGAAGGGAGGAGAGTAGGCTGAGAGAACAGAAGGAGAAAGTTAAATAATGTGGGGGAAGAATGAAAAAGGCAGGGAGGAAAGTAAGGGCATGAGGCAGAGAGAAATAGAGAAGACGCCATAAATGATTTGGGAGAAGGGTGGAAAGGAAGGGAGGAGAGTAGGCTGAGAGAACAGAAGGAGAAAGTTAAATAAGAGAATGAAAAAGGCAGGGAGGAAAGTAAGGGCATGAGGCAGAGAGAAATAAAGGAGAGAGAGGCCATAAATGATTTGGGAGAAGGGTGGAAAGGAAGGGAGGAGAGTAGGCTGAGAGAACAGAAGGAGAAAGTTAAATAATGTGGGGGAAGAATGAAAAAGGCAGGGAGGAAAGTAAGGGCATGAGGCAGAGAGAAATAAAGGAGAGAGAGGCCATAAATGATTTGGGAGAAGGGTGGAAAGGAAGGGAGGAGAGTAGGCTGAGAGAACAGAAGGAGAAAGTTAAATAATGTGGGGGAAGAATGAAAAAGGCAGGGAGGAAAGTAAGGGCATGAGGCAGAGAGAAATAAAGGAGAGAGAGGCCATAAATGATTTGGGAGAAGGGTGGAAAGGAAGGGAGGAGAGTAGGCTGAGAGAACAGAAGGAGAAAGTTAAATAATGTGGGGGAAGAATGAAAAAGGCAGGGAGGAAAGTAAGGGCATGAGGCAGAGAGAAATAGAGAAGAGAGAGGAGAAAGGTGAGAGAACAGAAGGAGAAAGTTAAATAATGTGGGGGAAGAATGAAAAAGGCAGGGAGGAAAGTAAGGGCATGAGGCAGAGAGAAATAAAGGAGAGAGAGGCAATGAATTATGTAGGAGAAGGGTCAGAAGGAAGAGAAGAAAGTAGGCTGAGAGAACAGAAGGAGAAAGTTGAAGATAATAAAGTGGGGGAAAAGTGAAAAAGGCAGGGAGAAAAGTGACAAGGGTGGAAAAGAAAGAGTAGGGAAATAACAAGGAAGGTATGAGCAAATTGGTAAAGGCTTGTAAAAAGTGTTACCTCAACAGGAATGAAACTGCAACAATAACACCAGATTTTGGATCACAGAAAAACATTTATGAATTTGTTTCGGAAACAAACTGTGATCACATGTTTGAAAAACAAAATAGGAGGCGAGAGTTCTATGGTAAGTAACAAAGTAAAATATAATTATACCAGACTGCTCTTGAAAAACATCATCATTAAAAAAACTAAGTGCCACATTGTCGTGCCTTAATATAGTGCCATATTTTAGTGCCATGTTATACCATCACAATATGTCCCAAAAGCATAATGAACTTTCTAATATTTTGGAGCTGTTTTTCATAATTCAATCTTGAAGCAGGCCTGCTGTAACACAAGTCCTTTCTTCACTGCTATTACCCATTTTCCCTTATTGTTTGACTCAATGATAACATGTTCATGCTTGGATGTGTCTTTTAATAATTTGAGAAAAGCTCGGTCCACAATTTTATACCCTTTATACCCTTGTCTTCCATCTATTTGTAGATGTGCTTGAAGAATCTCTAGACAGTCTACTTGAACTTTATTCAAGCCTTCTAAATTATTTTTGAAAATTAACCGAGTAGCCTCCAGAATTAGGATCCTGTTGAACCTTGAAATTGTCCGTAGACAGGCCAAAAGGCCGTAGAAAAACATTTCCTAAATCTTTGAGTTTCCCTAAACAAAAAAGAAATCAATGTCAACAAAGAATGAAAAACTGACATAGTATACAATAGATGCATGAGTTTGCAGTGTTCATGTCAAAAACACGCAAACATCATTAAGCTTATAGCTATTTTTTTTCATGATTTACTTTTGTTTTCAAGATGGGGGTTTATTCCCCAATGCATGTAATCTGCTGACTTGAGGTATGGTTAATAAACTTTCCTAACAACAAGGTGGGCACTTTTTTAAGGTGGGCCCTTATTTGAAGTTGGGCACTTAATGGCACTAACAACTGCATCACTAAGTGGAGGTTGGGTGCCTGAAACATCCAGGAGCTTCCACTATTGGCAGCCAGCACCTAGATGGAGACTTTTTCAATGGCTGGCAAATTCTGGCAACCCAGCCATGAGCCCCCACACAAGAAAGAGAAACAGGCACCCATCACATTGAATAAACAGTGGAAATAGAGAGGAAAAAAAAAGGTGTAGGGAAAACTGCCTGGATGATGAGCTAGCATTCCTCACAACACCGCAAGTTCACACACAAAGCACATGCAAGAACACCTCAAACAAAGAGCACATGGAATTCTGATGCATGTGCATATGCAAAAAACTACTGACTCGTAGAGATTGCTAATGCTCTTTGTTATTAACTCTGTTAAACTGCATTTAACTGCATTAAATACAATACATGCATCTACACAAAAACTATCAATTGCATGTAATTTTTCTCCATGCACAAAACTACATTCCAAAAAATGACACCCCCTTGACATACATGTAGGTGCTGTACTTGTAATTGTGTCATAACTCACACAACTCCAAATCTTTGGAATTTCCCAAAAATTAAGTAGGGAAACTATTTGATGACTTTGGCAAGATGTACACTTGTACATGGTGTTCATTGTTATTGCAATGGACACATGATGCAAGGGATACGTAATGCACACAATATTCAGCAAGTGCAAGTACCTTGTGAAAGGCATCAAAACTTTTTTCAACACATACCTATCATTTCCTCTTTCATTTTTTCATGCTTGACTTTTATTTGTTCAGGAAGTCTCTTCAGATAGTAAAGAAAAAAAAAGAGAGTAAACATCTCATTGACATCAAATTGTCTGATCATTCTCACAAGTCTGTGATTCTCAGGAGTATATAGGTAATAAACAAGCAAATAAGGACAGATAAATGGTGTTTAGTAGTTCATAGCACTGTCAATAGACTACATGTAATGTGAGTTCACACATTCAGGAAAAGAAACAAATTCACATTAAAGAGACATACCCCATAGTTAAATTGTAAGCGGAATGTTACTTGACTTAATTCTTGGTTTGAAAATTATTATAGACAATGTAAATGTAAGGTGAAAATCATGGTACATTGAGATAGCTTTCTTATATGGTAGCCACTCAGATGCATCCAAGTTAGTAAACATTCAGTAGACAATACAAAATCATTTACCATTAGTGCTTCTCTTGCCACATGAGATGAACGATCCATATCAAACACTTTCTGGTAATCTTGAAACAAATTGATCAAAAAATTCATTAACTTTCACCATAAATTCTTAAGAATAAAAATATTATCTTTTACAGGATTTTTCTTGGGTTACAAATGGAAACAGGGAAATACACCCTTGATGCCTTTTTCAATTAAAAAAAAGAAGGAACCAAACTAGAGAATGCAATCTAAAAAATACTGCCACCAAAAGGAGGGTTTTTCTTTTGAGTGCCATAATGCCAAAACCAAGGAAACCAATATGGACAATCAGAACGAGGGAGAAGCCAATAAGAACTCAAATTCAAAACAATCCAACTGCCTAAGAAACATTCAAATGCGCGCAACAAAGTCAAGGTGGGTTTTGGTTTCTCACCTGACTGTTTGAGAAGAAGGTGTGAAGATTGAGGTAAATGCAGAACTAATTCAATTGGAGAGATGATTTAACCAGGCATTATAATTGTAAAAAAAGCCCCAGGAGTCCCACCTTGCAGGTGGACTAGACATTGTGTTGAGAAAATACAGAATTTATGAAAAAAAAAAGCCACAACAATGCATGAGAAAACATTTTCCTGAGTTTGTTTTGGGAGGACTCTTATCTAAGAAAGCTTTTCCTGCCAGAAGAGAATATTCAGCAATCCCCAATAACTTGCAAGCCTCAATTTAAAAATTCCTTTTAACACTAAATTCACATGTCAAATAGCCACAAAAAAATGTGCATTGTATGCTTGTTATATAGGGTAATAAGTTTTTAGATGGTCTTGGGGAAAGGGGTTTAACCAGGTGTAACCTTTAGGTAAATTGGTTGTGGTGAAACAAAATAAATTGATAGGCAATCATCCTTCCTTGAAAATAAAAATACAAAATATTATATACTACCATCCACTTGTATATATGATACACTCAAATTTTATTAATAAATTTTACCCTCTAATGCCTCTTCTAATCTGTCCTCGTGTTCAAAGCACTGAGCTCTCCTGAGTCTAACTTTGAGGTAATCCGAGTTTAGGTCTAAGGCTAGACAGAGAAAAAAAACCCACAAGATTAATGCAGGAACTTGGAATTAAGCATGTCCATAGTAAAAGAACATCTGCAAGGTACATTGTATAAAGACAGTTTTTTGTTAGTACAGTATACCTGGTAATCATAAAATTGAACCTTTCATTCAGTCACAAAATTTAACTAAAATTTTTCTTAACCCACACTTGAAGAAAAAAACTTATAAACTAAAATGTAAAATGAACAATCTCTACCTTTTGTACAGTCCTCTATTGCTTCTTTGTGTTGCTCCTATAAATAAAAACATTTCTTTGAATCAAGTATCAAGTTAAGCATGGCTAACCCACGTAAATATCAAGATTATTATCTGTAAAAGTTATACCTACTGTACATAACAGATAACTTGATGAAAAAAATAACATTGGGTACAGTGCACATATTACTGTGTTATTGCAGAGAAATCAAACAAAAAAACTTTTTGTGTTCATTACCCAGCAATCATCAGAAGTCTTTTTCACACTGCATCCTATCCCTTAAATCATAATATTATTTCTGATAACCAATCATTACATAATATTATAGGTCTCACAAAGGAGCAAACATACCATTTTAACCAGACAGGCTGCTCTGTTTGCATAAAATATGGATTTTTCCTTTGTAAAATCATTTGGACATATCTTTATTGCACTGGTGTACAGTTCTCTAGCTTCAGGATATTCTAAATAAAAAATAAAAGAAATGAAACATTGATGACCCTTAACATACATGTATATTCATATTCATAAATTAAAACAAGATGATAGAGTAAATAGAGAATTTTTCATATTTGGTAAGTGGAGCTGTACATGAGAACATTACTGTCAGTATCTTCTTTTTTTCTTGAAATCTGATAGAAAGATTGATGGCATCGCTGTTTTTATGCTAAACAAAACTTTTAAATTTAACCATTCATTAAATAAAATGGTATAAATAAAATAACTTTGTCCTAAAGAGAATAAAGGCTTGACATTTTGTTCTGTTTGGCATGCGGATAGCTGGTACATATTGCAATAAAAATAGAAATGCAAAAATACCTCAAGAACATGTCTTAATTTACTAGTGATCATAAGGGTTATTTTATCATCTCAGAGTACCATATACAAGTATGGCAGCCAAATTAACCCCATTTCAAGTGATTAGCAAGCTGTTAAACATACACCTGCTTGCGAAAAATATCTGGAGGTTACCATCATAAGCTAAAAAATATATCTTTTGTACTTTGTCATATCCAGATGTAGCAAAACATTCCTGATCCTCAAATATTTACATGACAAGAAGTCATGGCCGATAAATTTCCTTCTCAATAACTTCTATATCAATGATCTAGACTAGTATGTACCCCTAGTATATCACATCAATATTACATATGGTTGAGATAAAAAGACATGTCTAATGTAACTCTAGTCAATTCTGTTTAGAGTCTTGACTAAATTTAAGATGACATCAAGACTTTTACACAGTGCACAGTGTTGATCTTGACCCCAAACTACCTATCTTGAGGAAAAAATTGTGCTATATATCATTTAACAGTTCCGTGAGAAAATTTCTAGTGTTGATTAGCTAACAAGTACATTGCACAAATACTCACTTACCACAAATATTCACTTACCAGATCTTTTAAAATAATCATTGCCTTTTTCTTTAAATTCCTGTGCCTGTATTTTTCTTTCCTTAGTAAAACAAAATCAAGGTAAAAGAAAAAGTGAAAAGTGATTGTGCCCATAATCAATAAAAAGAAATCCAAGCTGAAGTTCTAATTCTTATCAGATAGCTCTGGTAATCTGAGACAAAATCTACAAATTGTACAACAACGTAGATTGGCACACTTTTTAATTACGCATACTTTGTGGTAAAATTTTTTGGAACCCCCTATACCATTCTTATCTTACAATCTTGACCCTTTTTTATATCAAATGTGCCTTCAGTTGTCACTTGTTATGCAATGCAAGCGCTAAGCTGATAAAATTAATTAATTTACTCAAACTGTGCTTACAGGCGTGGATGAAGCTGTATAACAGTATGTAAAATGTAAAAAAATCTTTTGAAACATGTACGGCCGTATAAATTGAAACTCAAAGAATTCTAAAATCCTTACCTCCTTTTCTTCAGGTGTTAACCTTTCTTCTTCCTCCGCTACCTCGTTTTTTCCCTCTTTCTCTTCTTCATTCGTATCTTCACTCGACTTCGCTTTACAAGAGTTAATTTTTTCATTTAAATCCTCAACTGCATCTTGAAATGTTTCACTTTCAGAATCTTCTCCAGAAACATTGTCAAACAACTCTTCAACTACCTGCGCGTTCGCAGAAAATTTAGACCTGTTTTTTAAATGTTCTTCTTTTCTAACTTCTTCCACCGCGCACTGTTCATATTTTTCTCTATTCCCATCCAACCGTTCTTCAACAGATTTTCTTCCTTCTTCGGAATCTTCGTCCACCTTAGACGCCATATTGTGAGCGACTCAATCGGCGTCGTGTAATCAACTTGAAATATGACATGATGTCAGCAAGCGTCAATTGCATCGCAGGCTCATACATATTGATCTAAATGTTTATTTATCATGCTTACTTGGAGGTGGTGTTTTCATTTTACTTCATTCATCAAATTAATTTTTTTCCGAAATCATGATAGCCTAGGATCGGAGTATCAAATACAATAGAAAATGTATATTTTAGAAAGCCAAAAATGGATTAAGTGTACAACGTAGAAAAAATTTAACGATCAAAAGATGGCCAATTTCTTCGTTATAAAATCTATACATTTTAATCTTTGTATCTTGGTTACTGAAGATATGGCAAAGCAGGAACACGTACACCGTCAAACTGAACTAAAAATGTAATAACAGTTATGCGCTTATCGATTCTCGCGACGTCACAGTCATGCAGTGCTAGTTTGGCGTACTAAGAGCAGATTACGACAAAATTAATTTTTTTTTAGTTCATCGTTGTTCTCCTCACTGTTTTTTGTATTTTGACTCTTTTGTCCTATGTTTTTTTTGTATCTCTGCTTGTTTAATTCGGAAGGATAGAAAGAACACGATTGTATGGGTATTGCCAAGTGAAGATCGTTGGCAACACGATTCGACAAGAGAGCAAAAAGCAAAAATTACCCAGGGAAATGACCGAGCAAAGATGAAATCAATTACGTTAGCTAACTGATTTACATATTAAGACAACGACAAGATAAAACGTTGATAAAATCTGTTACTGCAGTTTTAGATATTGGAGTTCACACGGTAAATAGATGGCATAAAGCAGAAAGGAAACAGCTGGGGAAGGCAAAGAATAATCTTAACTTAGCCTTTTTGAATTCACAAAATCTCGATTTATTTTTCATCTTTCAAACCATGTTATTTATGAGACAATGAAAAAGAGCTTTTTGATGGTAGGTGATCAAGACCTGTAACAAGCGTCAAATTTGGAACTGTTGGCGTCAAAATCATTTTAAGTTACGTTATAGCTAACAAATTTACATTACAAGTTCTACTCTATCACGTAACATGCAAGAAGTGACGCGTTTGTGGCTAGTTCATTCTGATTGGTTGTCGATTACAAGAACGTTTGTAATACTGTTAGATGTAAGTCACCGTGCTTGCTTACTAAAGAGCTTGGCATCTTGGACCTGAATAAACTTGGTAAGTACACATTTAATGTACTAGCGTGTATTGTTATTGATGTATCATGCAGTAAAATTTATGATAGGAAACCGTCTTATTCAAAGTGTCAAGGGAGCTTAGCGGCGGCAAAAAATGTGCGTGATTTTGAAAATGATGCCAAAAAAATAAAAGCCACTCAGGCGACAGTTGACAAGATAAAACTGGCTCTGAAGGAGGATTTGTAATAAAAATATTTCTTTCAATGTTTCTTTCGATGTTTTTTTCAATATTTCTTTCATCCGAAACCAACTTGCTGTTTTCGTGTTCTCTTTCGATGATGTATCGCCAACAGTTGGTCAGGATTCTGCCTTTGAGAAGCAGACCTGTGCAATCCGCTTTTTACTGAAGTGTTTTTCCGAGATAGGACTTGAGGAGATACAAGAAGAAATAAGACATCAGGTGAATTTCAGAGCTCACCTGTGTGTATATTTACACGGTATATAATACCTTAAGCGCGCCTATCTCACAACGATAACGTTCCTCGCCAATAATCTATTTTCTTCCTGTCTGTGAGTTATGTTTTTTTCCTCGAGGTTAACTGTGTAGTGTCGCATTTTGTAGAGTAAACATTTGCACAGATTTTGCGGCCTGCAGGTGGATTTTGTTTTGGTGTGAAAAATGATTTTTTAAAACATCTCAAGACTGATGTTATTGCTACTATTACAAGTGGCAGTCCTAAGTAATCTATGATGAAAATTGTAATCAGAAGACTGTCAATGCTACCATTACAAGTGATAGTTCTAAGTAATGTATGACGAAATTGCAATTAGAGGATCAACATCAAGTATTTTTTATACCTTTGTTCCATCCCAGATTATAGAAATCATTTATAGTGATAAGCATGAATTGAAAAATGCTTGAAGCAAGCACATTGACATACTCAACACTTTTGGGTGAGCAAATATTCGAATCAAGATTTAAGCAAATAAATATTGTTGTTTGTTATCACGAATCGATATATTTTCCCAGTCCTGTCATGCAACAAAAGTCACAAAGATCCTTAAAACCAGATGAAACTGAGATAAAATTTGAAAACCTTTTCTTTGGATGTAAAATATTTACCATGCTATCAAAAATTTTAAAAAAATGCCAGAGGCTCAGAGGTCATTTTTCTTTTCAAAGTAGCCTCGAGCGATGGAATACAATTTTTTTAGTTTTGTTTATAGAAGCAAAGTACTAGAATATTTTGATCATGATTATTTAAAGTCCAAAATATTTTCGGGGCATCAGGGCATCTACAGGGTATATTAATTACATGACTGTAATATTTCACTATATCCTGCCCTAACTTGATATTTATCGATCGCCTCTTTATCCGATGCTCTACGTGTAGGTGGAAACCGACAGCAGAAATGATTGTTACATGGTTACGTGCAGTTTCTTAGCAAGGTTGTGACAAATCAGGCTTTACATTAGGAGACATATAAATCGTAACTTGGCACCTTTACCAGTAATTTAGTAAACAGTAATTGGAATGAATAACCGACGCATAGCAGAATCCTAATTTTGTCCTAATTTTTACTTGTTTAAGTTCTTAGCTCATACGCTCGTTTGGCCTGCACTGCAACTAATTCATAACTCTTTATAATCCATAACATATAAAAATTCTACTATGTAATTAATTTTGTTGCAGTGTTAGTTTGCTAAAAAAGCATGTTGTGAGTACTCTTGGTTAAGACAAATAAAACCACTACCCAGCAAAGTAACCTACTTGTCTCATTTATAATTGTTTCAGTATTTCTTTAACGGTAAAGCGACGCTAATACACGTAGCTGTCAAAATATTTGTAAGATTTTGAATCGTAGACTATTTCTCTTGGTGTTTCAATTGCATCACAAATTATCCTTCCTAAATTCAGGTTATGTTCAGCTCTAAAATGTTTTTATACTTCTTCAAATCTATTTGGAGATCACCTGTCCTTACATTATACTTCACCCTTAGGGAAAATAAAGAACTTTATTGCTCTTGAGGCCATTAGCTAACGATTGTTATTTTTTGTAACCCCTTGCGGAAGTTTTAAGGACTTTTTTAAAAGCAATATTATTTTTTGGCTGACGTGGGAGATAAGGCAAATACGGAGCTCTCACGCTCTAATGAAACTGTCTAAAAAAAAGGTGTTTCCTCTAATGATCATCAAGGTTCACTCGCGATATTCATGAGTAGGCAAGTAAAGGAAGGAAACACAAAGGGAAGGGAGAATAAAAGAGGAGGAGAAAAACGAGAGTCTACAGTTTACGGAAACGGCCAAGGAAATAAGAGGGTAAATATGTTATGGGTGGGAAGTGTTTATCCTCAAAGCAAAACATGATTCTACGAAGTTCTTCACTTCTGGCTCCAGTTAATACCTTTTCACATTAGTTTTAAGGCCCTTGAAACGCTAGAGTTTATAATTCAGTGTGTAAGTCATTTATGACAATTGAATACTTGAACGGAGATATTAGAGCCCAAAAAACAGTGACTGAATATTTATTTACCGCACGGCATGATATTGTAGAGAGCTAGAGAGTCACGCGACGAAAAAACGGTATTACGCCCGCGCCGCCGCAACTTGGAAGTTCAATAACAGACCCAAAATATTATTTAAAATCTTCTGAGCCAGTAGACGTAAAAAAACTGAAATAGTTCAAAACTGGGGTCGAGGAGACCATAGCTAATTCTTAGAAGTTGAAAGGATTTAGGAATAGAGTATACGGAAAAGCGGAGAGGTTCTATGTTTTGCCCTCTTGAAGAACCTATATCTAGTAATAAAAGCGTTTCTCTTAATTAAAGTAAACAACCATACAAATGGAAGGAAAACCATTCTCTCAGCAGATCTAGATTTACCCAACAATTTTGACTTTCACACTTCTGCGGGCATTATTCATCATTTTAGGTAACTTTCTCCAGATTGGGTTGGTCTTTGATTGTAATTCAGTAATATTTGCTAGGCAGTTTTTTTTCTGTAACATGAGACAATTTGAGAACTGAAAGTGGTTAAAAAAAGATAAAAAAGATCGCATTCTCTCATGCAAACACGCATGTAATGAACCATCTCCATCGGTCCATCAGGGAAGTTGTAGATGGTTAATGCTTCAGCCAATTTGTGCTCTCTGGAATCCCTTTGAACAATGCCACTTTGTAGGATCGAGAATCTATTGAACGTCGGAGAATTCAACTTTTATCAATTCGATCAAGGTAGGGCATCCGTCTTTGATAAACCCCTCCATCCTTACGGAAAAATGATATGATGATTGACATGGAAATCGGTTGCCAGTGTTGTTAAGCAAAATAAAGGGACTTATACATCAATTTATATCAATTTATTGTCAATTTACTGAGATAGAAACACTTTGCAATTGTCTGCGTCCCTAACTTTATCAAGTCCTTAAAAGCATTTTACGTAACTTGGATTCCACACGAGATAAAAACGCCCTTGAAAGTATCAGCTGAAAGAAAAATGCCGCCGAAGACGCGAGATGAAAACATTAATTGCCATAATAATCTTAGTGTTTGCCCCGAGAATGTCGATTAGGCTAAAATCGAGGAGGCTGTTTTAATGAGGTAGTATTCGATGCCAAATCAATGGAACTTAACAAATAACCCTTTTGTTGACGATGATTTTACGCAAATAGGCTCTGATGTTTACACACAGTTTATGTGCAATGTGTTTAAGTTAGGAAGTGAAAACTAACAAGGGAGTGAGTGATTGATAATAACTGAACAGCAGGTCGAAGGGAAGCGAATCCAGCGCGGGGAAGCAGATGAATGATTTGTGAAAATAAAAAGACAAGAGATCGAAGGAAAGAAACTTGGGTGTCGGAGTCTTAGCAAGGTGAGTAATAATGAAGGAAAGTCAAACTAATTGAAAAACAGAAGCAGAGAACTGAAATAATGAATTTTCTATAGGTTTCAGGGAGTCGCTAACTTTTTGTTTTCAATGCTGTGCTAAATTTGAAGTCAACAAACATCGGTTTCAACAGCTTCTATGAAGAAAGTAATTTTCAACCGTGTTTGACAAAACTGCCGTGTTTCACCCTCCAACTCCCAGAAGTGATCTGACATGTAACTTCCCCCTGTAATATTCATACATTATCCAGCAAACAGTTAATGAGAATATTCAAACTTATCAGGAAATGTGTACCAGCTAGAGGGGAGAATGATAACAATCAGGTCCAGTGACTTTAAGGGTTAAGCTCTGGTGTGAGAAATCAGTCGTACAGCCGAGTTTACCAATCAACGAGGGAGGTCCGTTTGCCAATTATTTCAAAAATAGCACCTTTGATACCTTTGGGTTCAAGTGTTTGGTTGGCTGATGTTTTGTCTTTTGTTGGCCGAGACACATCAATGGGTGCTAAACAAAAAGAGCTATTGCAATCAGAGGAGTAACTTCCATTTAGACCGAGTGGCATTGATGTTCTACTCGCTTCTTGGGTTAAGCCGAAGCAATTGTAATCTCGTTAAGACCTGAATTTTTCTTTTATGATTATACATTAGTATAACGGTAAATTATGGTTGCAGTGAGGAATGACTGTAGAGAACTGCGTTCATGACTGCTTCTTTCTTAATGTCCATGTATAAAATGCATGGTCGTATTTAATGAAAATGAGATGCCAGTAGTGTGTCAGTATGTGAGTGAGCGTGTGATTGTGCAGCAAAGGATATGCTGCATCTCTTTATCATCCTGGCTATGAGCCGATGAGAGCTTCAGCTATGAGAGGACATTCCCTACTCATGGGCCCATCATGCGGAGTGCCAATCAATCTATTTCTAGCGCTTGGTCATACTGCGCGGATATCGTATCAATGCGCTATTGATGAGCTATGATGAACGCGATCAGGTTGCAGGCTGCTGTCCCATTTTCGATGTAACACTCAGGCTTTGGGTATCGAATGAATTATTAAATGAATTATAACCTGCCCTAATGTAAACTCAGGAAGTTCTTGCCTTAAATCCAATTGACTAATCTCTTTAACAAAAAGAACAACAAAACTTGGACTGAATAAACCTAGCTAATCAATAAACCTTGAGACCTAACATGGATGATTCCAGCAAAGCCTCGTTTGCGCCAGAAGACCGAAAAGCATGCCTCAATAGAATTCTAAAAAAAGCTTCAAGTCTTTGCTCTGCCAGTGCCAGTTACAAGAAAGAGACTTGGATCGATTGAGCCTAAAACCGACCGCACGCAATATGGCTAACTCTACAGGTTCTTTCTCTGCCTCAGATGCCCACGTACGCCCAAATTCAACACATGCGGCCTCTGAAAGCACATTGTCCAGCTGCCTCAAGCCAAATGACCCAAGTTATGCCTGCCTTTCCGGCTCAACTTGAAAAGCTAAATCCTACAGTAAAAGGAAAAATAAATATCACTTCCAAAATCGAAGAAGCTATTCGCTAATCAGCTAAAAGTAGGTTAAGTACCTAAAGCAAACATGCAATGACGCCAGAATATTAAAGCAATGCTTACATTAACAAACAACCTTACCAGCTTTATGATCATTGATTACTGATGTTTTATGAAACGGAAACAGCTTATTAATCTTCCCATGAAAAGTTGTTCTAACATCTTGAGAGGAATGATAAACTGTAAAACTGGTCTTACTAAAAGTTAAGAGATTGTTCAACGAAATAATCCCATGATTCCTCATTTCAGTCATCACAAATCGGCTCATTTTGGGTGTCATGTACTGTCTGCACTAACCTGTGCCCCAAAAGTAATTACTTTAGACTTTCTTTGCAATCATTTGTGTCAAAACTGATAAGTGAAACAATAGTGAACATTGTCAAAGATCAAGTTTAATTTTTCCTAAATTTGCTGCGTCTTGCATTGAAACTGAAGTTGTAACAACTGTTAAGTAACAGTTGGTTTCCGATGATAAGCTGGATACTTTATTTCTAGGTTTGTCTTGTGTTTCATTTAAGTCTCATTTGACTAAGTCTGTTTGTGTGTGATGTATGCTCTTTGGGATTAGTTGCCTCCCTTGTTAAAAAAAACCGAAATTTCAACCCATATAAGCCCCTATTGTATTATGAATGATCTCAGCAAAACATTACTACACTTCATGCAGCGATACGCACGACGAAGACGAGATTAAGTTTGTTATACCATGTAAATCAGAAAAATCTGAAGCAGACTATTGAATCTATCAGCACCTAACTGGATAATTTCACCGCTGAAACTCTGAGGGAAACAACCCCAACTTCCCTTTGCAACACGAGACTCTGTAGGGATTTCTTTGGTTTTTCCGCCTTTCTGTAGTATTGACTTTCTTGGCTCGAGATCAAAGCTCCACTAATAAAGTTAACTTATATAGCAAACCAAATACAAAAGACAAGCTTTTGGCATGTGGCTTCAAATAAAGGAATCAATCACCGTCATCTTACGCGTTATTTGTATCAGTATTAATCGTGTACGGAGGAAAATTAGTTCCACAGTATCAATATTGCGGTGTTTTTACGTACTCTCTCTCGTCATGCAAGGATATCGTAAACTACTGTGGAATATCAGGCTCTTACCGAGCATAATAGGCGGTAAAGTGCCTATAGGAGAACTTGGGAGTGGTCCAATAAGGTCACCGAAAAGTGATCACTGAGACACTTCAGTGTGATATCTATTCTCCGCGCGAGAAATCTGAACTCGCTTCGAATTTCGCGAATTACCGTCATATGGTTTCATGAAACATGTGGTCTAAATTATACAGCAATCTGAACTGACCACGTTAAATATTTTGTCGATCGTGTAATGGTTTCCCTCTGATTTCAAATACACATCCTGACATGTTTCACTTCAGATGACAATATCTGATAACGTTTTTTTTTTCTGTATGAAGCAAATGAAATATTGTTTTATTTAGGAGAACATGACGATTTTCTGGCATTTTGGGTCCGTATCCTTATTTATCATCATTATCGTTATTTTTTCGATCAAGTCCATAGTTCAATGATTTCGAAACTGATACACCAAAACAAAAAACAAAATGGAGAATAATAAAGTTGAAAGAATGCAAGGCTGATTGTCGCGTGAGCTCAGTGAAACAAGAGATGCTACTACTTTAATTCGCAAAAGCTTCCGAACAATTGATCACGGAAGAATGAGGTGAGTCTGATAGAACGCTCCGGTGCAGTGCAGGTCTCTTATCGATCTCAGTGCTCTAGCGATACAGCATGTCACAACAAGAACAGCACAGCATTTATAAATTTACAAATAATCTCCATCCGTGAATATCTGATCGCACAGTTATCAACTGCGCCTTTGTCAGCGTTGGCATTGAGTTTGGCAGCGGGACAAACGGCTCTGCAGGAATACTTACTGAGAGAGGACAGAGAGAGAGGGAGAGCAAAGTGAGTTGGATGAGTAGAAATTCACAATTAACATTTGTAAAGCTTGCTACGCTGGATAATACCTGAGAATATTAAGAAGGAATTAACCAATTAAAATTTCATTAAAAGTAACTTTGTAGAGAGATTTACTCTGATCATTTGAGCCTTTCAGTGTATCCCTGTGTCATAAACAAGCTTTGTTCTCTGTGTAAAAATGCATCGTTAGTTGGCAGCAGTTAACTTTTTTCCCACCACGGTGTATATTTGATTGTTTCTTTTTCTCAGGTTTCATTTAAATATGGTGTAACAGCCAGGAGGCTAAGTCAGTGTTACTGCTTGTGATACACAGCTGTCCGATTTGCAGGGATCAAAATCTCTGGCGCGCCATTGGTTCATTTCTCAGAGCTCTTTGCGGGTATTATGTGCTATTTGGGTTATTTAGATTTTTGCACAACAATGGAGTTCACGGGATAATTGATCTCTTAAAATAGCTTTTTGTATCAAGGTGGCCAAGTTCTTTTGTTTTGAGGCTTTGCTATTCGTAAGCAGTTGTTAAGCGCATCACTAACTACAAACAATCGGATGACGGGGTTACTGAACGAATCTTCTGGAAAGGAGCAGCCCTCTCCGGTGCGGAATAACCACATTTTAGACTCGTAGAAACTTAGATCTTTCTTGTGCTGGCGCGAATACTGATACTCCTCGCTCAAACATAACTCTTCAACTCTGTTGGATCTTTATGCTCCCTTAGTTTTCTTTAGAATTGTAAACAGTAGGAGCTAGGAAGCAGTGAAGGGCAATTTGTCTAAACACCGCAGGGGTGGTATAGAGAAGTTTTCTGTCACCGGAAGTGCCTAGGTGTGTTATCTCAGCACGAGTGCCTCTGACCGCTGTCAATGCGAAGGTAATTCGTGATCATTGTTTAGTTGACTGCGCCTAAGAGGGTCGATTATTGAATTCGCCCAAGAGTGGACAATCAACAACTGGTAAAGAGAGCCTAATAGTCGCTAGACGTTTCTTCGAATTCGTGCAAGGATAGTAAAAATAGAATATTCGCGTCGCGGAATCGATGTATAGAAACAGAAGTTTTCCAGGTATGTTGGAAGTGTGTTCGTTTTATCAGTGACTTCGCAGGAAGTCCAACTATTTCATTTCCTTTCTACGATTCGACCGATTTGCGTCTCATATGTCTGTTCAAAATTATGTCGATTTTTTAGTTTAATATGGGAGGAAGAATGCTCCGATTTTTCCCGTAACTTATCAGTTGGCTGCTCAGCAAGGTTGGTTATGAATGATGCCCAATACCCAAAGAGTAAATAACTAAGAACGTGACATTTTGAAGATACCGATACATTCATAATTCATGTGAAATTATTCTATAGAATTGAACGAATGAGTCATGATTTGAAATGATGCGGCAAATTGGTCGCTAAAATTACTCACTACAAGGGGCACAGAGCGTAACTTTCACTTACTAAGCTTGTCATGTTCATCGTAACAGATCGGTGAACGAGTGCGTCTAATATTTCACTGGTTGGTGGCTTCAGCTTAAACCCCACAAAAGGACAAATCAAGAGATCCAGGATCAAGGGAGGCAAGCAACCGCTTCTTTCCAAATGATGTTGGGGTTAAGGAGTCTGGTTTTTACAGCTGCATTCACCGTATTAATTAGCGAAACAGTGCAGTCCTGCTCGGGTAAGTCATTTCATTATGTTCCTATGAAAGCCACGTTTTATACTTTAGTCCGATTGTTGAAAAATACGTGATACAGGAATGCAATGAAAATGTCCCAAATTATTTTTTACCTCTCGAGATGAAACTGATCTCTGATCTTTATTGTTTCACGTCGACAACATGCAATTTTTGAGAAAGTGCCGATTTCATTTAAAATCGACAAAGCGCGTGTCAATTTCGGAGATATCGACGTCAGCGTTGAATTGAGTGTCCATTTCATGAACTTGACTTAGCTCAAATTTGTTTCGTCTTCGTGTAGTAAACCGCGCAACAGAAATCCATTTATTCCTAAGCTTATAAAACTGCGGCTTCCTTTCGTAAGTCGTCCGACACTTATAACTAACTATTTAACTATGCTATCTTTTGTGTAAGCGGCCTTCGAAGCTTATTTGCGACGTTTTAATTACAATCCGCAAAACGAACCGACTGTTCAGTTGAATAGTTTCGCAACTTGCTTTTCATAGTTAAATTGGCACAACGGGAAGGAGTTATTTCGCTATTACTAGAAAGAAAAGGGTGCGAAAATTAAGCGAATCTTAACTTGACTTCGGTCAAAACCGAATTGCAACTGAAAACAAGGCTCTATTTCATTGTTATACACTGTTATTGTTGGTGAACAATTGACGGCTATTTCGGTCTTCCACCTCCCAGTCTTTAGGCCCAGGTACAGCGCTGATTATCTATCGCTGTGTAACCTTCTTTTAAGGTGGATATCTATGAGTTCAAGCTATCACTGTGAAGCTAAACCGAGCTGTAAAAACGCAACAAACACATAAGCGGGGTGCACCAAAGCATGTGATATTTAGAGGCCTTTTAGATGTAATTGGAGCTTTCAACATCATAACATGCACTAAAAGTACATCTAAAAACTTTATTAGTAAACTTCAGAGCGAAATTTAAGTCCATTAAACGCAAGAAATAAACAGGATTCCCTTCCAATTTGCACTGTGTTCAAAATTAGATAGAAAAGCGGTGCTTGTTTAAATTAGAAAGCAATCTAGATGGAACATAATTAGTTTTAAGCGCCAGTCACTCGTACAATGGAAAATTTAATCACTGATCAGTGGAAAATGACACTATGCAGCGCTAAAGCTGTAATCATAATTTGACAATTTGAAATATCTCTACACTAAAACTCCCAAGAAACGTTTCACTTTGCGCTCACTGCAAAACGTCACTCACAGTAAAAAGAAAACTTTTGACGGCCATCAATTTGATGCCACAAATATTTACTGTTGTTTGTTGGACGGAAAACAGTGCCTTCATTGTTAGAACTAACAGATCTGATGCCGCTTTAATACGTCTACCAGAATACCATCATTTGCACCTTTATTTTTCCCCGAACAGACGCAAGCAGAATCGACTTTGTTTTGACGCTATCAGTCCTGTCTGTTGTGGCGAGCCCTCTGCCAATCTGGTTGCGTGTAATCTTTTATTGTTTGCCAGAATGGGAAACAAGAACAATACTTGTTAGGCAATCGCATTGTCTTTTCTGAAGTAAGTTGCCTCGCTGGCGTCACTGCTATTAACCCACGCGAGACCCTCCGAGTTAGAGGCTTTCTCAACATTTTCTTTCATCAACTGAACTTGAAAAAGCGGAAAAATCGCCCTTTTCTGAATTTTATTCACTGTATAATGATATCGATAAGCAAAGGAAAAGCCACAAAAAGCCGGCAGATTAAGCAGAAGAGATAAGGCTTCAAGCTTGTCTCAAAGCTTTCTTTTTCGTCTTCTTGCTGCCTCCCATGACCCGACCCAAAGAGCCATCTATTTTAAATTTATATGGACAGGTCGTCTCTTGTTTTGTTTCCTCTCCAAACAACAATGATGGCTTGGAAGAAGTTCTATCTTAAGCAATAAATTGCTTTTAACAAGGCACAGACTGCTAGGAGTTGCACAGCTGTGCTGTCAACTTCTCAATATTTTCCCGGAAATTTTGGATCTCCTCGGTGGTTGAAAAAGACATTACCCCACCGACCTAATCTAAAAAAAACCAGCCTCTTTGTCACTTGCTCGATCTTTTAACTCGAGCGTGAGTTGATCAAGTGAGCGGTGGCCTGCACCTTTTTCAGTAGAAATTGGAACGTACGTCAAAAGCTGATGTGTGAACGTTTTGCTGAGAAAGAAGAATACTACTTGTTATCTCTTTTCTGTTTTCCGAGGATGCAGAAGCGTTCTTATTGGTTTATCTCCATGGCAAAATATCATCTCTTTTAAATCCGGCAATACCAGTCACTGGACACATTAGTTCTCTTCATGATATCAGTATTCCTTACACCTACGAAAATAGAATAATCGATTCTATTGAAGACGCGCGCGTCTTCCTGTATCAGTATGGAAACGTTTAGAATTTCACATCCCCTCCTTTAGTGGGATCACGGGGTCGACACAGTGTCAGAGAACAATTTCATGATTTTCTCATGAAATGCATGTTCGCCAGCCCTTCGCCTCTAGAAGGTGACGGGGAATTATATTCAGCTGCAAATGTTTTGATCTTACAAGAAGCGGAAAAGTACCTACTAGTGTTTTCTCCGCATTCAACCAATATCGTCGCATTATTTTGGTCTGCTAATACAAAGTCCTGTTGTGTTGATTCGAGGTCAAAATACACGTGCTCAGTACAACGAAATGCAACACTGTAAAAGCAGTTCCTCGTGGTTTGTGAAATCCCAGTAAGACGTCCAATAGGTTAAAACTTGCCAAGGCATCATCCGTTGTACGTGCATTAGGGCTCGTCGGCTATCAAGATCTCATTACGTGAAGATATTTCGCACCATTAAAATAGTATATTTAGTTTACTATCCATATATTAATATTGATTTACTCAAGGTAGCTCTTGTCTCACAGAATAATTAAGTTACCAGCCTAATCCGACTAAGACTTCATAAACGATCTACTGTATAAGATTCCCTTTTTGTCCCTGATTCTTTTATGAAATTTGAGGCGAGGTTAAGTTTTCTTTGAATTTTTATCACCTTTGAGTCAATGACTTTCCCACCACCCTATTTATTCACAAACATGACCATTCGATCCAACTTTTCATAGCCTAGTTTTGTCTCTCTCTAGCTTCGCTCCTTCGTTCATTCGTCGGCTCGTTCGCTGACTCGCTCGTGCCGCTGGCATTCGCTGGATTAGAAGCTTTGTATCCTACAAGGTTCAGATTATTCGACACTCATTTGAAATATTTGAGTTACCACTTTGTTTCTGAAGAAATAATAATTTGAGCAAATAGAAGTCGACAGTCCTCGACGATGAGTTTTGTTGCCACTTTGTCTTGCTTTTGCTTTTAAACCGCGAACAGAGAAGCAAAAAATTCTGTGACTGGCGAGGGAATGAGCGGATTTGAAACATCTAAAGCAGAATTGTTTATTAAGGAAACTAATTTTCACGAAAAATTGTGATAAAGTCGAGGTAAAGAATTCAGTGTTATACGTGCTCTCGGCTTTATGCTGCTGCAATCCCAGATGCTTTCTCAGAAATTTCTTTCTGAGAAGTCATTTTTCATTACTGTCATTAACCAAAACAAAAACACTTCCAAACCAAGTCCTACCAAGAGCTGATTGGTATTTTTACTCTTGTATTTGTTCGTTTTGGGTTGGAATTGCAAGGGAGCTAAAGGAAAAAAGCCGTGAAAATCTTTTCAATCAGGAACTGAGGCATCCTTGAACACGACTTTTTTATTATGTCATTTCGATGGAATAATTTGCTTGGTCTGGGATCAGTTACTTTTAAATTTAGAGTAGTATGGAAAATCAACCAAGCATTTCTTATGCGGTCTTCTAATATTTCCGCTCCAGTCTGAAAAATTTCATTCTCTGCTGTCTGATCGATTGAGATCGCATGCTTTTTATTTTTTTTTCTCTAAGACACTTTTGGAGAGATTCGTAGATAACAATACTCTTTGAAATTGGACTAATCTGAACGAAAAGGCAAGAACAAATATTTAGGAGATATAACAGTCTGACAAATATAAACTCCCAGTTTCTTTGTTTATGTAAGAATTTCTCATATAAGTCTTTTTTCATCAACTGTTGATTAGATCTAACTTAGTATCACGAAGCAAGTGCTCTGTACTTGTCCCCCCGAAACAAATTTTAAAGTGGTGGGAGACTTAATTAAAACCAGAGTGGTTCCTGTCTCAGTTTCAAGGTTATCCATAAATATGCCGTGACTGTGCCTGTTTGTCTCAAGCGGAAAAACCATACGTTCTTTCTCGATTTGTCATTCGGTTTTTCGAGACTAATGTTGCAGAAAACCGGTATTTCCTGTTCACTAAATTCAATTTACTTCTTGACCTTTTTCATGACAAACTTTACAAGACGAAAGGCAGAGCAATCTTTATGACAGACGATGACTCAAATAATAATGCATGGGAAAATTCATTACCAGAGCTACGGATAATTAATAATTTAAAAAAAAATAGTTTTCCAGCCATACAATGATTATTTTGGTATCGACTTGATAGAGACGATGGTCAAAGTATGAGTTTTTGTGGTTGTAGTAATAACGATAAAACACGAAAAACTTCTAAAATTTTCAAACCATGCAGTTAACGTGCAAATGCTTTTGAGTATGTTTTTTTCTAAAGAATTTGTGTGTTAAGTGACGGATTAACCTTTAAACGTTCTTTTCTGTAAGACGACGGCTATGAGTAGATTTACGTAATAAAAGCTTTCTAAGCCACAGTAAGTCTGCCACGTAGGACAAAAGAAAAGTCAGTCAGGCACTCACTATTGACATCTGGACTAAACTTCTTAGTTGCACAATATGCAGACCCGATGTCTAAGGCTTGATTTACTGTAAGACTGCGTAAGCCGTATATAAGCTCTTTTGTGCTTACAATCAATCAAGCCTAACCTAGCCACGAAGCTTAAATTTTGCAGGAATTCATAATTAGTTGTTAATTGAAAGTGCCAAACTGCCTGGTTAGGATTCGAAAAGTTTTGAAAGAAGGTCACTTCATTTCAGCGTTAATTTGCGATATTTTAACCTTTCGGTGACCT